TCTACCGTACTGCCTGTCTCCAAGTATTGATAGGAAGCAGGGAAATGTTCTACCGTACTGCCTGGCTCCAAGTATTGATAGGAAGCAGGTATATGTTCTGTCATACTGCCTGGCTCCAAGTATTGATAGGAAGCAGGTATATGTTCTATCATACTGCCTGTCTCCAAGTATTGATAGGAAGCAGGTAGATGTTCTATCATACTGCCTGTCTCCAAGTATTGATAGGAAGCAGGGATATGTTCTACCGTACTGCCTGTCTCCAAGTATTGATAGGAAGCAGGGAAATGTTCTACCGTACTGCCTGGCTCCAAGTATTGATAGGAAGCAGGTATATGTTCTATCATACTGCCTGGCTCCAAGTATTGATAGGAAGCAGGTATATGTTCTATCATACTGCCTGTCTCCAAGTATTGATAGGAAGCAGGGATATGTTCTGTCATACTGCCTGGCTCCAAGTATTGATAGGAAGCAGGTATATGTTCTATCATACTGCCTGTCTCCAAGTATTGATAGGAAGCAGGTAGATGTTCTATCATACTGCCTGTCTCCAAGTATTGATAGGAAGCAGGGATATGTTCTACCGTACTGCCTGTCTCCAAGTATTGATAGGAAGCAGGGAAATGTTCTACCGTACTGCCTGGCTCCAAGTATTGATAGGAAGCAGGTATATGTTCTATCATACTGCCTGGCTCCAAGTATTGATAGGAAGCAGGTATATGTTCTATCATACTGCCTGTCTCCAAGTATTGATAGGAAGCAGGGATATGTTCTACCGTACTACCTGTCTCCAAGTATTGATAGGAAGCAGGGAAATGTTCTACCGTACTGCCTGGCTCCAAGTATTGATAGGAAGCCGGTATATGTTCTATCATACTGCCTGTCTCCAAGTATTGATAGGAAGCACGTATATGTTCTATCATACTGCCTGTCTCCAAGTATTGATAGGAAGCAGGTATATGTTCTATCATACTGCCTGTCTCCAAGTATTGATAGGAAGCAGGTATATGTTCTGTCATACTGCCTGGCTCCAAGTATTGATAGGAAGCAGGTTTATGTTCTATCATACTGCCTGTCTCCAAGTATTGATAGGAAGCAGGTATATGTTCTATCATACTGCCTGTCTCCAAGTATTGATAGGAAGCAGGTATATGTTCTATCATACTGCCTGTCTCAAAGTATTGATAGGAAGCAGGTATATGTTCTGTCATATTGCCTGTCTCCAAGTATTGATAGGAAGCAGGGATATGTTCTACCGTACTGCCTGTCTCCAAGTATTGATAGGAAGTAGGTATATGTTCTGTCATACTTCCTGTCTCCAAGTATTGATAGGAAGCAGGGATATGTTCTATCATACTGCCTGGCTCCAAGTATTGATAGGAAGCAGGGATATGTTCTATCATACTGCCTAGCTCCAAGTATTGATAGGAAGCAGGTATATGTTCTGTCATACTGCCTAGCTCCAAGTATTGATAGGAAGCAGGGATATGTTCTACCGTACTGCCTGTCTCCAAGTATTGATAGGAAGCAGGGAAATGTTCTACCGTACTGCCTGGCTCCAAGTATTGATAGGAAGCAGGTATATGTTCTATCATACTGCCTGGCTCCAAGTATTGATAGGAAGCAGGTATATGTTCTATCATACTGCCTGTCTCCAAGTATTGATAGGAAGCAGGGATATGTTCTACCGTACTGCCTGTCTCCAAGTATTGATAGGAAGCAGGGAAATGTTCTACCGTACTGCCTGGCTCCAAGTATTGATAGGAAGCAGGTATATGTTCTATCATACTGCCTGTCTCCAAGTATTGATAGGAAGCACGTATATGTTCTATCATACTGCCTGTCTCCAAGTATTGATAGGAAGCAGGTATATGTTCTATCATACTGCCTGTCTCCAAGTATTGATAGGAAGCAGGTATATGTTCTGTCATACTGCCTGTCTCCAAGTATTGATAGGAAGCAGGTTTATGTTCTATCGTACTGCCTGTCTCCAAGTATTGATAGGAAGCAGGTATATGTTCTATCATACTGCCTGTCTCCAAGTATTGATAGGAAGCAGGTATATGTTCTATCATACTGCCTGTCTCAAAGTATTGATAGGAAGCAGGTATATGTTCTGTCATATTGCCTGTCTCCAAGTATTGATAGGAAGCAGGTAGATGTTCTACCGTACTGCCTGTCTCCAAGTATTGATAGGAAGTAGGTATATGTTCTGTCATACTTCCTGTCTCCAAGTATTGATAGGAAGCAGGGATATGTTCTATCATACTGCCTGGCTCCAAGTATTGATAGGAAGCAGGGATATGTTCTATCATACTGCCTAGCTCCAAGTATTGATAGGAAGCAGGTATATGTTCTGTCATACTGCCTAGCTCCAAGTATTGATAGGAAGCAGGGATATGTTCTATCATACTGCCTGGCTCCAAGTATTGATAGGAAGCAGGGATATGTTCTATCATACTGCCTGGCTCCAAGTATTGATAGGAAGCAGGGATATGTTCTATCATACTGCCTAGCTCCAAGTATTGATAGGAAGCAGGGATATGTTCTATCATACTGCCTGGCTCCAAGTATTGATAGGAAGCAGGTATATGTTCTATCATTCTGCCTGTCTCCAAGTATTGATAGGAAGCAGGGATATGTTCTATCATACTGCCTGGCTCCAAGTATTGATAGGAAGCAGGGATATGTTCTATCATACTGCCTGTCTCCAAGTATTGATAGGAAGCAGGGATATGTTCTATCATACTGCCTGGCTCCAAGTATTGATAGGAAGCACGTATATGTTCTATCATACTGCCTGGCTCCAAGTATTGATAGGAAGCAGGGATATGTTCTATCATACTGCCTAGCTCCAAGTATTGATAGGAAGCAGGGACATGTTCTATCATACTGCCTGGCTCCAAGTATTGATAGGAAGCACGTATATGTTCTATCATACTGCCTGGCTCCAAGTATTGATAGGAAGCAGGTATATGTTCTATCATACTGCCTGTCTCCAAGTATTGATAGGAAGCACGTATATGTTCTATCATTCTGCCTGTCTCCAAGTATTTATAGGAAGCAGGTATATGTTCTATCATTCCGCCCTGTCTCTAAGTATTTATAGGAACCAGGCAGTCTTTGAAATAATTTAAACACCCAACAAGACTGTCGGGCAGGTGACCATAAGTTTTGCCTGACTATCTTCAAAGTTATAATAAAACTGAATACGTAAGTAATCTAAAAATTATGTACCAGACAGTCGGGCAGGTGGACATGCAGTTATTTCAGACACTGGAAACAGGAATATATTCTGTCATACTGTCCTGTCTCCCAAGTACTGATCATGCTGATAGGAACCTAGTCAATGTCCATAGCCAGAAACTCAGGGGAAGCTATGTATCTTGGGACTGTGACAAAGCAGCATGTTTACCATGTTCTCAGTTTTCAGGGATGTAGTTTCTCTTTAATTATTGATGGTATTTCCTACTTGTCAGGTCACTATCATTCCCCAGGTTAACATAATAAAAGTATCAGTTCTTTTACCATTTTAAAATCTTCTTTGTTCATTTTCCAATTTGCAGTTTTTTTATTCACTTGATCTGAGATAATGTATTCCATTGTTTGAAGACTGGCAATATCTCAGTGAGATCTTCTTACACTGGCTTAGTACTGCTACATACGTGTAGTCAATCAAGTAGAAACTGTTCACATCATTAAATAAAGCGTGAACTCCCCACAGCATGAGGGATTGTCCTCAGCCATCAGCCAGCTGAATATTGCTGACTGGCATAAAAGCAACATCAATTCATTCAACACACAGCTGACCCGTGAAGATCCGGGGTAGAATAGGTCTTCAGCAACTCATTCTTGCCGTAAAAGGCGACTATAGTTGTCGTAAGAGGCGACTAACAGGATCGGATGGTCAGGCTCTCTGACTTGGTTGATGCATGTCATCGATCCTTATTGATCGATCATTGATGCTTATGATATCAATCACTGGATTGTCTGGTCCAGACCCAAGTATTTACAGACCGCCGTCATAAAGCTGGATTATTGCTGAGTGCGGCGTTTAACAACAAACCAACAACAACAATCAACACACAGCTTGATCTAAGTTGGGTCTTATCAGGGGAGATAATCACTGCAGATTAACAGTAGAGATATTAATTATAGAATTTCCACAAATTGTATTTTTTATTACTGATGAAAGGGACAACTCAAGTAATGTAAAAGTGAGTGTGTAATTGTTTTTTAATGTCCCAGGCAGCAATAATCATGTTCTTTATGTCAATATTACTGTACATAATAACTAAGCAAGTGGGTGAGTTCTATTTTTTCCAAAAAAAACCAAAAAAGTTTATTGACTATTGGTTCATTTATTTGAAAGAAGTCATTAAGTTTAGGGGAATATATGTCATGGAAATATGTTACAAGTATTTGGGGGCCCATGAAAAGAAGTTAAACAAAATGGGAGGGGGGCAGCAAAATATGATACAGTCCTAAGACCATGGTTCACAAAATAATTCATTGACAGACAAGTATGACATGCACATTAAGCACAAAAACTATTTTGACATCTATAAAAGTTGTAATGAATCAACAGCTTACAGAATGTTTAGATATTCCTTAACCCCTGATTTTCCCCATATAAATATTTCTGTATATATCTAAGTCAGCGTGCAGTATATTGTATATTGACCGCCAGCCCATGCACAAATGTACTGTGAGTAGGTAAAATGGTATTTAGCCCAGAGCCCAATGTGGCAGGGCCATTGTTCCTGATTGTTTAACACATAATACCCAGAAACGTGAGAAGCCAAGTATTTCTAGGTCAAACTTATCAACAGTAAAATGTGTAAATACATACATTAAACTGTTAGTCAATCTTAAACACAAGCATCAGGCCATGCCGAGATCCTTGCATGCAGCTCAAGCAGAGACACGACAGGATCACATGTACACACACAGGATCAGTACTCTATACACACCACACACACTACACTACACTATCTACTCACCTCCGAACGAACTTTCCCAATAGTATCCCATGCCCAGTTTAAATCTGTCGAAAAAGGAGAAAAAGCATGACATTAAGGTCAAGATTGTTGGGAAAGTCGTCGTTCCACAAGCCGCAGATGACAGCGGTTGGTTGACTCTGGACACAGACAGGTGACTGGTAGGTAAAGCTCTATAGATCCAGGGCTGGCTGTAAGCAAGGCTCGATACACGGGGCTAGTGCTGGTAGCCGGGTCCAGACATGCTCTCCTGGTGGCAGTAGGACAAAATACAGGACCACATTTAGCTGGCAATAACCCGGGTTGTGACTGATTCTACTGCAGGGTGGGTTCTATACTGCAATAACCTGGGTTGTGACTCTACTGTAGGGTCACCAGGGTTCAATACTGCAATAACCCGGGTCGTGACTGATTCTACTGCAGGGTGGGTTCAATATTGCAATAACCCGGGTTGTGACTCTACTGTAGGGTCACCAGGGTTCAATACTGCAATAACCCGGGTCGTGACTGATTCTACTGCAGGGTGGGTTCAATACTGCAATAACCCGGGTTGTGACTCTACTGTAGGGTCACCAGGGTTCAATACTGCAATTACCCGGGTCGTGACTGATTCTACTGCAGGGTGGGTTCAATACTGCAATAACCCGGGTTGTGACTCTACTGTAGGATCACCAGGGTTCAATACTGCAATAACCCGGGTCGTGACTGATTCTACTGCAGGGTGGGTTCAATACTGCAATAACCCGGGTTGTGACTGTAGGGTCACCAGGGTTCAATACTGCAATAACCCGGGTTGTGACTGATTCTACTGCAGGGTGGGTTCAATACTGCAATAACCCGGGTTTGTGACTGATTCTACTGCAGGGTGGGTTCAATACTGCAATAACCCGGGTTTTGACTCAACTCTAGGGTGGGTTCAATACTGCAATAACCAGGGTTGTGACTCTACTGTAGGATTGATTCAATACTGCAATAACCCGGGTTGCGACTCAACTCTAGGGTGGGTTCAATACTGCAATAACCCAGGTTGTGACTCTACTGTAGGGTCACCAGGGTTCAATACTGCAATAACCGGGGTTGTGACTCTACTGTAGGGTGGGTTCAATACTGCAATAACCCAGGTTGTGACTCAACTCTAGGGTGGGTTCAATACTGCAATAACCAGGGTTGTGACTCTACTGTAGGATCACCAGGGTTCAATACTTCAATAACCCAGGTTGTGACTCAACTCTAGGGTGGGTTCAATACTGCAATAACCCAGGTTGTGACTCTACTGCAGGGTGGGTTCAATACTGCAATAACCCAGGTTGCGACTCTACTGTAGGATTGGTTCAATACTGCAATAACCCGGGTTGTGACTCTACTGTAGTATTGGTTCAATACGGCAATAACCCAGGTTGTGACTCTACTGCAGGGTGGGTTCAATACTGCAATAACCCAGGTTGTGACTCTACTGTAGGATTGGTTCAATACTGCAATAACCCGGGTTGTGACTCTACTGTAGGATTGGTTCAATACTGCAATAACCCGGGTTGTGACTCTACTGTAGGATTGGTTCAATACTGCAATAACCCGGGTTGTGACTCTACTGTAGGATTGGTTCAATACTGCAATAACCCAGGTTGTGACTCTACTGTAGGATTGGTTCAATACTGCAATAACCCGGGTTATGACTCTACTGCAGGGTGGGTTCAATACTGCAATAACCCGGGTTGTGACTCTACTGTAGGATTGGTTCAATACTGCAATAACCTGGGTTGTGACTCTACTGCAGGGTGGGTTCAATACTGCAATAACCCAGGTTGTGACTCTACTGTAGGATTGGTTCAATACTGCAATAACCCGGGTTGTGACTCTACTGCAGGGTGGGTTCAATACTGCAAGAACCAAGCAATTGGGATTGATGACATGAATCAACCAAGTCAGCAAGCCTGATCACCTGATCCTGTTAGTCGCCTTTCACGACAAACATAGTCGCCCCTCACGACAAGCATATAGACTATTAGAGGAATTGTGTATTACCAGTATCTACAGGATGCAGTGCTCTGATACATCAGTGAGTCATGGCACGGTGGCCAGACTCACTGACTGGTTGATGCATTTCATCGTATCCCAATTGCCTGGATCGATGCTCATGATGTCAATCACTGGATTGTCTGGTCCAGACTCGATTATTTACAGACTGCTGTCGTAGAGCTGGAATATTGCTGAGTGGGGCGTTAAACAACAAACAAACATGGCACCCCTCATCATGTCCATCACGACTTGATAGCACAGTATATCAGCCTTCGACGGAATGCCACACCCGACCATCCCGACCGTCCCGACCGTCCAGTCTATTCTAGAAGGCTAATAACTAATTGTGTGAGTCATGCGCAGTGAAAACTAAAAATGCTGAAGAAAAAGAAATATCCCAGCTAATGATATTTCTTTGATTTGCTGTCTTTTTATGGCTTTATATTATTCTTAATAAGCATTGCCACAGGATTATTATTCTTAAAACCTTTATTCACTAGAGTGACCTCAAGGCACTGGCAGCCTATTTCAATGGGAGCACAGTGGTCATAACCACTGACATTCAAATATATATATATATGAAATTTCGAACCCCACTGAGTCTCTCTTCATCCAGTTATTGGGTGAAAAGAAAAGTTACAGGCCTTACTAGCATAATGAGATCATTAACTAATTATACACACTATGAATATAAATAGCATGTTTGTTGACAATATAAATATATCAGAGTATTCAGTAATACAATACACCCGACTAAGCCTGTCACTGACCCTCCGAGAATTGGCATTTGACCAATACATTTGACCATTGCCTCAAGACAGTGCCCCCTGGCAATCAGCCAAATAAATATAACCACAAACTACAATCATGTTTACCCATATATGCATTCTAACAGGTTTGGCACTGTGCCAAACTACCCCTGCAGCAAGAGCAGCTGAATAATAGAGAACCTATCGCTGAGATCTATGCAGGGTAGATCTTGGATCAAACTACCATCTTCAGCCCACTACAGGGTAGATCTAAGATCAAACTACCATCTCCAGCTCCTTACAGGGTAGATCTAAGATCAAACTACCATCTCCAGCTCCTTACATGGTAGATCTAAGATCAAACTACCATCTCCAGCCCACCACAGGGTAGATCTTGGATCAAACTACCATCTTCAGCCCACTACAGGGTAGATCTAAGATCAAGCTACCATCTCCAGCTCCTTACAGGGTAGATCTAAGATCAAACTACCATCTCCAGCTCTTTACAGGGTAGATCTTGGATCAAACTACCATCTTCAGCCCACTACAGGGTAGATCTAAGATCAAACTACCATCTTCAGCCCACCACAGGGTAGATCTAAGATCAAACTACCATCTCCAGCTCCTTACAGGGTAGATCTAAGATCAAACTACCATCTCCAGCTCCTTACAGGGTAGATCTTGGATCAAACTACCATCTTCAGCCCACCACAGGGTAGATCTAACATCAAACTACCATCTCCATCTCCCTACAGGGTAGATCTAACATCAAACCACCATCTCCATCTCCTTACAGGGTAGATCTAAGATCAAACTACCATCTCCAGCTCCTTACAGGGTAGATCTAAGATCAAACTACCATCTTCAGCCCACCACAGGGTAGATCTAAGATCAAACTACCATCTCCAGCTCCTTACATGGTAGATCTAAGATCAAACTACCATCTCCAGCTCCTTACAGGGTAGATCTAAGATCAAACTACCATCTCCAGCTCCTTACAGGGTAGATCTAAGATCAAACTACCATCTTCAGCCCACCACAGGGTAGATCTAAGATCAAACAACCATCTCCATCTCCTTACATGGTAGATCTAAGATCAAACTACCATCTCCAGCTCCTTACATGGTAGATCTAACATCAAACTACCATCTTCAGATCATTACAGGGTAGGTCTAAGATCAAACTACCATCTTCAGATCCTTACAGGGTAGGTCAAGCCTAAAACTATCTTGAGCTTCACACAGGGTAGATCTAGGATGAAACTATCATGAGCTTCACACAGGGTAGATCTAGGATCAAACTATCTTGGGCTCCACACAGGGTAGATCTAAGATCAAACTATCATGAGCTTCACACAGGGTAGATCTAGGATCAAACTATCTGGAGGTCCACATAGGGTAGATCTAGGATCAATCTATCTTGAGCTCCACATAGGGTAGATCTAGGATCAAACTATCATGAGCTTCACACAGGGTAGATCGAGGATCAAACTATCTTGAGCTCCACACAGGGTAGATCTAGGATCAAACTATCATGAGCTTCACACAGGGTACATCTAGGATCAAACTATCTTGAGCTCCACATAGGGTACATCTAGGATATGACTGTCATGAGCTCTACACCGTCCACTCAACATAATGTTTCCTCATTTGAAATAGCAAAACCGTGGGAAGCCTCAATGGTAACTTGTCAAACTGTTCCATGAATAAAATGTATCCGGCAACACACAAGTGCTATGCTTATCATGCTTATGGTTATTAATATTATTATTTTAAATATATATTATAGTAAAAGCTTCAACTAAAATAACAAGATACTAGAATATATGATTCAAACAGCATGTCAAACATGAAATAACAAACAGTGGATAGAGTTGGGTACAGGGTATTCATTGCCAGATTTGCAAATGTTTTTTGGCGGGACATGTTTCAGTACGTATTCAAATGCAAACAAACGTGTATAAAATTTACATATGATATTACATATTAAATAAGATTACAACAAACAAAGAATTAAGCTGTTTTTGTTGAATTAGCATTGTCATAGTCAATATTTGACATTCCTCTGGGATCACCATTTTTTATTCTTCGACCCTGGACAAAAAAATAGATAAGTCGGTAGATCCCTGATAGCATTGTTCGAAATAACTGCCTACCCAGCTGCCCGTGGCTGGTAACTTTTCTATCGGGGCGCATGATATTTTCCTCCACCTACCTGACTGTCTGGCAGACTACCTATGTATTTAGTTTTATTATGTGTACTTATATATGTAACTCCTTGTA